CAAGGCACGATTCGATAAGCAACATCGATTGAGACCTAAAGCAATCGAGGAAGGTGATTGGGTACTTGTTTATGACAACAGTTTGGATAATCAACATAGTACTTTGCGAAAATTTTCAAAATGTTGGTTTGGACCATATGTAGTAACAACTGTTCATGATAATGCGACTTACTCATTACGCGAGTTAGATGGTACAAAATTGGAAATACCAATTGCAAAGAAGCGAGTAAAAATATTTAAACGAAGACACGCGGAGATGAATATGGAAGACCTTAATGAAGGTATAGAGATTCCGCAGCAAGAAGATGAAAGTGATTTGGATAATGAAGGTGACGAAGACGAACTAGACAAAGATGTAGAGGATATATTCTAAATCAAATAGCAATTGGATAAATTGGTGCATATCGGAGGATGCACAGGTTCAGAGGTGGTGGATGTCCTGTTGTAACACGAGTATACCGTAAAAATATAAAGAAAGGAGACTTTTATTAATATTTAGTTACCTCGAATATTGGGGGGCAACGACCAATTCCAGTGCAAATACTGGGAGGCCAGGGTCAGTCACCCCGTTACAGTCAGCGGGGGCATACTGAAATGCTCCGTTCGATTCCAATAACGGGAGTCAGCAAAAAAGGGAAAGGACCAATTCAATGATGGGTGAGCCTGGTTCGAAGAGCCAATTGGATCCAATTTCAAGACATCCAATCCGGGTCCTCTTACCCAATATGAGACCTGAATTGGTCAGGCAACCCAATGCAGTCTAATTACGGGAACATCCGGGTCTTACTACTGGACTCTTACCCAATATGAGACCTGAATTGGTCGGGCGACTCAATGTGGTCCCGATTACGGGGCTTTGATTCCGTTTTAGGCTGTTCTGTCCTCTGTGCCGTTCCGGGAATGTCCTTTTGGTAAAAGGATCTCTTAAAGGTAAAAATGGAGGAGAAAGCTCTGACGGCAAGAGCCAATTTTGGATCCAAGCTCTGTCGACGGGAGCCAATTTTGGATCCAAGACGAAAGATTGAAGAAATTCAGAATTAAGGTTAAGGAATGAGAGGGGAGAAAAAAAGTTTTTTTTGGGGTTTTGAAGGATCGGAGAGCTAGCTTCATGCTTCGGAAAGGGGAAAAAAGACAGAGAATTGGGTTTTTTTTTTCTTCATAGGATTTTGGGAAGACTGAGGCAATCGTTGCTGAAGTCAGTGTTGTAATGGTAAATCGGGATTTTTAATAAAGTGGGTTTGATTACTCTTGACTGTTTTGTGAAATCGAAATTACGTATGTGATTGAAGAATTAAAAGGGTGTCTATAGGATTGAGTATGCAGAGTGAATGAAATTTATTGGGTTAATCTAACAAGACAGTCAGTGGATACAAGATCGTAAGTACAAAGCGGTATCGAAGATTAGCAGTTTGGTTGTTCGGGGTTCTCTGTAACGTCTAGAGACCTATCGGTTGGGATAAAAAGGACTTCAGCGAGCAGTCGAAGGGCATCCGTATAGATTTATGGTATATTCTTGCAGTCGTTTAAATTCCAACAGTCAAAAACTGATAGACTGTTTGAATATTGGCGAATCTCCAAACTACCTTTTACAGCCAGATGCCCGACGCATTTTCGAGCAGGAAAGCACGTAATACGACAACGCCATTCTAAATCTCCAGCAGGAGCTCCAATTCTATTTGTGAAGAAAAAAGATAGATCATTGTGGATGTGTGTTGATTATCGAGGACTCAACAAGAGTACTATCAAGAACAGGTATCCACTATCTTTAATATCTGGACTTCTTGATCAGTTGAATCAAGCTAAGATCTATACAAAATAGATCTTTGGGGAGCATACAATCTAGTATGCATCGAAAAAGGAGATGAATGGAAGACTACGTTTCGAACTAGGTATGGATATTTTGAATACAACATCATGCCTTTTAGACTTACAAATACACTAGCAGCTTTTCAACATCTAATGAATGATGTTTTTTGAGAGTTTTTGGATAATTTTGTGGTCTGTTATCTAGACGACATCTTGATTTATTCTAAGAATCCAGAAGAACATGAACTTCATGTTCGACATGTGTTACAAAAATTAAGAGATGCAGGACTCTATGCTAAGATAGAAAAGTGTGTATTTCACACTACTCAAGTCGATTTCTTAGATTACATCATTTCAAATGATGGATTTATGATGGATCCTAAGAAAGTTTAAACTATTATAAATTGGAAGATCCCAAAAATGGTAAGAGATGTTCAATGCTTTTTGGAATTTGCCAACTACTATTGGATCTTCATCAAGGACTTCTCTCGAGTTGCAGCTCCACTAACATGCTTGACTTGCAAAGAAAAACTCCAATGGAATCAAGAAGCAGAAGTTACTTTTGAATCTTTGAAGACAGCGTTTGTTTTTGCATCAATCTTGTATCGTGTTGATTTTTTCAAAGCATTCTTTATGGAAACAAATGCATCAGACTTTGCTCTGGGTGCGGTTTTATTACAAATGGGAACAGATGAAAAACTTCATTTAATAGCCTTTCATTCAAGAAAATTCTCAGCAACAGAAATCAATTATGAGATCCACGACAAAGAACTTCTTGCAATCATGGATTCTTTTCAAGAATGGCATCATTATCTAGAAGGCGCTTCCAATCTAATCACCATGTATACGGATCATAAGAACCTCGAGTATTTTATGTCAGTATGCATATTAAATCGTCGTCAAGCTCGTTGGAGCATGTCTTTATCAAGATTCGAGTTCATCATTACTTATCAGCCAGAAAAACAACAAGAATTTTAAAAAATTAAAAATATAAAACAAAATAAAACCACTTCCATTAATGTGGCAGTACTTGAAGATGGATGCAAGTCCATAATTTAGATCTACATAGCAAAGAAATTAAATTCTTCAAAAAAGATTCAAACTTTCCTTCATTCTTCATAACAATTCTTTTCTTTTCTTTCAATTAATTAATTAATTTAAAAAATACATGTAAAATAAATAAATTATAATTAAAAAATTATTAATGCTACATTCTAATTGATATCACTACATTCCACATTACTTCCATATAACTCAAATTAACTAAAAATAGCACTTCTATGTCTGGGCATGTTTGGCAGCCCAATATATAATCCTAGTATTAACCCAAAATAAAATAAATTATTTAAAAAAAAATTGGTACCCAGAAAAAAAATAGAATAAAAACAAAAACAAATTTTTTGAATTAAAAAATTTTTGAGGCAAATATATTTCTTTAAAAACAAAAAAATAAAAAATAAAAAATAAAAAATAAAATCACAACCTATTTTTTTAATAAAATATTCACTCTCTCAACTACTGCCCTTTCTTAAAACAAATAAAGACTATAATGTGCAAAAGAAACAAGTATATCATTAGCTAGTTCTCTGCAAGGAAATTGGTCACCTAGTGTGTAACAATATGGATTGGGGATGTAGCATTAACAATTCTCTATAAGTATAACTACAAAAAGTAATATGTTTTAGAACAATATGTAATAAATCAAAACAAACAAACAAACATAAATATATTTCAGAAAAAAGGCTGTAGAATGTACACAACCACGCCTAACAGAACAGTAGGCTCAAGTCAAACACCTGGAGGAGAACCCAAGTGGCAACCTAAGCTTGGGGGAGAGAATTCAATGAAGGGAAAATTCACAACATGATGACCACACAATGGAAAAAAGAAACACTGAGCAAACGTTGAATTAGTATCTGGACGACACAGTCTTCTTTGGAACTCCAGGTACTGAACTGAACTGAACTTGAGAGCAGCTTTCATTCCATAACTAGCATCCGCCCTACACGTTGTCCCGTCGTCTGATCCCAGCCTTTTTTGCTGCACCCATAAATAGCTTCCTCGGCCAGGCTTTGCTGAAGAATCCAAGACCACAGATCCAGTTCCAATCTGTGGCTGAATGCTGCTCTTAGTTTGTTTTGCCAACTGAGAGCAAACCAAGTGTCTAGGAATGCAATGACTTTGGCAGTAAAGTGTTAGTACATGGTGGAGAACTGTTGCAATTTAGTGCAGCTCTTCGTGACAACATTGGATAAAATGATGGAACATAACGGAAATAGACATAAAACTTTTTGTGTCTTAGTAATCTTGTGTTCCTGTACTGATTTGATCTGTTAAAACGGAGACGAGTTTGAGGTTAGATCAAGGTGTTGAGACCATTGTCGTGATGGAGATGATCGGTGGACTTTACCCAGCAATCACCAACTCCACACAAAGAAATTCCTTCGCAAAGCTCAAGAAGGTGCACTGGGTGGTTTAGGTCCATCCGACGAACAGCGAGCCTCTGCATTTCATGAAACTCGAGAGTTTCGCATCAATGCTTCTGCTGTTGCCATTTCCTGAGTTTCTTTATATGTACGTAGGTTGACTGAACCAGAACTATTTCAAATAGTATTGGGAGTATATGGCAGATCCACATGTTGCGTTGATGGATCGTGTATGGGAATTGTGTGGTTCGAGGAAACACAAAGCTGTGGGTGGAAAAGATCAAGCAAAAAAGAAAGAGAAGCCCAGGAACTCAAGCGAAGGAACCATGAAGTGGTTCTGGAGTAGAGACAAAGGAGCAACCAATCTAAGTTTAGATAGGAAATTTAATTATAGCGGGAAAAGAAATTGTTTTCATTGCATGGCACAGTGGAGGATATGACTCCAACCATACAGATGCCGGCAGGCAGGTGGCTGGAATGGGCTTAGGTAGTAAGAAAAGAAAATGAAGCGCGCGGAGGTCGAAGCAAGGTAGCGAGAGAAAGCCATAATTGGAGTCATATCTTGAGTGGGCGTGCAATAATTTTGGGAGAAGATGCCTGACAGTCGCAATGGATTAGCTATGGTTGATTCAGTCAAATGGTACAACGCATGACATGGCAGGGCAAAGCTACCACTTTCCGTCCCCAGGCATCGGTTAGCAGCATCATTGTCAACAGTGCTCATGAGCTGCTTGCTGCTTATAGACTATCAACGTAATTTCTGCTAATCTGAAGCTAGGGAATTGAAATCATTCTATCAACGGCTAACAACGTGATTGAAATTTCGATAAGAACGACAATGTTATGCAAAAGATAAAAAATTAGATTGATTTAAGAGATAGGCCCCCTTTACCTGGTCCACCATCCAGTTTGCTTCCGCATCTTGCTTTTGCTCTTTGAGAGCCTCCACTACGTCTGTCGAATGCTCACAGCGCATGACGTTGAATCCCCAAGCCGACAGTTTCTTGAGAAGAGAAAAATACAGTCGGAGTGTTCTGTTCTCCATCACCATTATCGCTGATGAAGAAGTGAGGAGCTTCTGAGAGGCAGAGTTGCATCAGGTTTGTCCTCTGCATTTCCATGCCGTATGCTTGATTGTGGTAACTACATGGATTGTCTATGAAGAAGAGAGAGTTGAACCAAGATTTCGAAGGGATGTGAGAGTTAAACATTTCTGATGGTGTGATGTTCTGCTAGCGAGGTCTATGACAATTGCACATGTGTTGATGACCGTGGATTTGAGTTGGATCAGTCGTTGTAGCTCAAGCTCCACGTCCTATCTAGCAATGTCCAAAACTTGGTCAATGCAATTTGGGGTTAGAATTTTTATAATGTGTTCCTCCAACTGCCGGTTTTCGAGTTTTTCTTAGCAGTTGTGAACGATACGAGTGCCCAGCAAGTGTATTGCAAGCAATTTGTATGTCACCGGTGTCAGCATTCTCTTTGTCATGAAACTTCCCATCTTCACGAAGAACGGGATTCATACTTGGGCTGCCTGCGGTGAATTTGACGCTAGAAATCGTCGTTCCGGTCATGTGGTTGCACCTGTAGAACCTCTTCCTCGGTGTTTCTGAAGGCTAAGATGTTAGAATTGCAGCCGCAGTGCTGCCTGCTTACCGGGACGCAGTTGTGCACGATTGTAGCAACGTACGTTTCGAATGAGTTACCAGACCTTGAATGAGAGTTGTCTTCACCTGGAAGCGTCGAACGTCGTCCAAAGAACTTAAACTAGACTAACCGAAGGTTTTCTGTTGGATTTCTTGCAAAATTTAACAGGTTGTAACAAAACGCGATTCCTTCAGTGTCGAATCACCAGCAGGAGGCTTAAAAATGGTAGGGAATGGCAGAAGAATGAACCGCTTGGTGGCGTTCTTAGTGGTGGTCTGTTCAGCCGTCTCAGGATGCAGAGCATGGGACTGCTCGGCAGCGGATAAACAGACACTGCTAGACTTCAAGAATGGGTTCGTGGACACGAACGGAGTGTTCAACACCTGGAGTGATAGCACTGTGAACTGCTGCGCATGGAAGGGCATCACATGTCGCGAGTCAGATGGCGCAATTTTGGAGATCAACATCGTGGGATCCTCTGGCACAAACCAGCAGCCATACCGCAGCCCGAGCTACCAAGGCACAGTTGGCGCAGGGCTGGTGGCGCTCACCCAATTGCAGAAACTCAAGATCGAGTGGGTGCTCTTCAACGGCCCCATCCCTCAGCAGTGGGGAGATTTCTCCACCACTCTCGTGTTGATCACCATCAACAACGCCAACCTCCGCAACGACATACCCTCCACCCTGGTTAACATCCAGAACCTACGGCACCTGGACCTCAAGAACAACCACCTTACGGGCTCCATCCCCTCCACCTTCTGCACGCACAAGAAGATCAACTACATCGATGTCTCCTACAACGACATGACCTACCTTCTTGTCCCTCCGTGCTTAGTAAACCAAAATAACCTCACCGTCATCTTTGATCACCAGGGTAACAGTACTAGCCCCGGCTATCCTGCGGCAGGCTCCACCCTCACAGTCTCGTCGTTGCTCCTCGCAATCGGAGCTCTCACCACTGCTCTCCTCTTCCTCTGAGGAAATCCACCCCCTTTCCTCGTGGTCAGGCAAACCCTAACTCATTACTGCAATACCCAGAACACAGTTCTTGAGAAGGGAATTTTGATGCCGTCTCCATCCCTAACTCTCTCGCTCTCACTCGTGCGCGCGCACGCGGGATCTCTTCGTTATGAAAAAATTAATAAGTGCCCCGGAGAGATTTTGTCTGTGATGTCGGAATTTGCAGAGGAATGAAGCAGTCAGGTGCACGTAATGTCCAAAAGGTAACAATCGAATCACAAGGATATTGTAGAGTTGTCAATGGAACCGTGGCTACACGCCAGGAAAAAAGTGAGTACATATTGTTTGATCCTTGGGATGTATGCTGTATTAGTGAAAACCTTTGTCAAGGACAGCGCTACTCTGTTGAATGTTTAAGCTTAAGCTGGGCTGTAACATCCAGTTAAGGAATAAAGCCTTAACTATTAGTTGTCTCGGCTGTGCGATTATCCGAACATGACTCTCCTGTGAGTGCCGTTGTGAAGGACTCTACACCCAAGATGTAGACAATCGTTTCTGTACTGCAACACTATGTGTCTGGGTTTTAGTTGAAGATTTGAACAAATAGACAAGGATTGGATAGTAACGTACAAACCTCTTTCTTAACAGTTCTCAGGTGTTCCAAATTCTGAGTACAACTGCGAAATTCGGAGCTTGCGCTCCTGAGCATTCACTTTACAATTGTTTAAGTTAGTGTAATTTTTCTGGGTTCAATGGTCGTGAGGTTCTTGCATCTGTGCGTGAGATCTGCTTGCAACATCTTAGTTGGCAACGACTGTAGGAGAGTACAGTTTCTAGTCCATCGAATAGTCTTGAAGCTGCTGGAAATTGCAGGTCGCAACCAAATTAAGTGTGGGTCGTGGTTTCTGATATATAATTGTAACTTTGCTATAAAAAATGCCGAATGAAACAGACCTTCCAATACCGAAAACCAGACTGGCTCACCAAGACAGACATCATAATACCCACATAGATTAGATTGATCCATACCAGCATTATTGGGTCCGCCTCTTCGGACGACTTCCCCGCTCGAAACTTCGACATTTGTTTACGTTTGATATTTTACTAGACTTGTACCTTTTGTTTAATGTTACCCACATCGGAAATCCAAACGATGAGTGCAAAAGATGGACCACAACTTTCTGTGGGTGCTCACGAACTAATTTTCCCTTTCCCACAACGTTGGTAACACCAACTGGCTGCGACTACGTCGATTCTAGTCTTTAGCTGGAAGTAGAGGATCCTTCATCATCAGTCTGAGAGCATGTGAGGCGTGATCAGAGGGAATAGGGTTTTTGGCCTCTGGAGGCTTTCAAACGTATGGTGAGTATGGCGTGACTTGTAGGGAATTTAGATGATTCGAATTCCGAAGTAGAACGATGATAGAAGACGTGATGAAGACCAAATTTTGAGCATTTTTCTTTTTTTTCTTTCATTTTTCCCCTTTTTTCCACTTAGAATTGCACCTGGTTCTTCTGATTCAAGATGCTACAAGGAATGGGGTTGAGGTTAGACAGGGCAGGGAGTTTCGGAAGTAGGTCCGGGGCTGTAAAACCTCTGGTACACAAGCATGGATTTCGCGTTGCTGTGACTGCGTCTACGAAGGTGAGGCCCAAAATTATGCGCCTAAAGCAGGATGAGATTGGAGCAGTGCTACCGTGGACGGGCTCCGGGGAGCAGAGGCTACAGAAGCTGGGCACTCCATCGACATGGCTGGCGCGGCTGGCGATCTCACTTGCAGGCTCCGTGTTGTTCTACAATTACAACACCATGGCTGCTGCCATGGCGTCCTTGTACTGGGCTTGGGATCCCGTTCTGAGCACCACCTTTGCCAATACCTTCCTCCGGCTTCAGTACCCCTATGCAGGGCTTTGGAGAGCCCGCGTGCTCGCCGTGAAGGTGGTGAAGCCTGCGCGAAGACCGCGGAGCGACGATGTGTTTCAAGAAATTTTTGAATCACAAGCCCCTGTTAAACCCTTTCTGAAACTTGTAATTGGAGATGGGAGCTCAGCTACTCTCGAGGTATCAACTCGCCTCTCTTCGTGTCGGTTTAGTCGATATTACTCAGGATATTGTCACAATTTTATTTTATTTTATTTTTGAAAATGTTGGATTTGAAGCTTAAAATTTTCCTGAATTGGGAGAATGATTTTTTAGATGAAGGTAGTGATGCCGAGCAAGAAGAACCAGGTGCAAGTTGGCGAGCTAGTGGAGGTTCTCGTCTTGTCTGATATCAAAAGCCTATCCCGCTTCATGGCCGTTCGTGACGTCTACCTCCCAGACATGGATCTTTGGCTTTCAGAGGATCCTTGCATTGAGCGGCCGCTGTTTGAAGATTTAGTCCAGACCCTGAGAGCAGGCTCGTCTTCTTCGTCTCTCGTACCTCCAGCTGTGAAGGTAATCTTCAAAGCTCGAAGTCTCTCAAGCTTGAGAATCATATGAGTCAGTCTCTTTTCATGCATCCAACGCATTGACACAATCGAGACGGATTTTCGTTGCAGGGGCGAGACACGCAATCCGTGAAGGCCAGGGTACCGGAGTCCATAGATATGCTACCGGAGAGTAGCTTAGATCGAAGGGAATTTGACAAGGATTTTCTCGCTCCCGAACCGCAGACTGCGAGGAGATGGCGGCTGACGCAGCTAGATTACGAGGAATTTGAGCCTGTTGTGGAGGATGATCCGAAGCTTCAGGCTTTGAGAAGATTAAATCGAACGCAGACAGAGGGAGAGTTTCCAGTACGTGCACAAGCAGATACGTATGATCCACCGATGAAATTTACACGGATTCAAGATAGCAATTCCTACTCTCAGGATTTTTGGGAGCAAGACAACAGCAATACACAGAGCGATTCGCAACCAAATCAATCGCAGGTATCCGCTTCTGACGAGGATTTTGCACAGAAATCTGTCGATACCGAGAGCGATAATGTAGAAGAAGAGTCGAAGATCCAACCTTTGAGGAGATTAATCCCAAAGCAAAGGTTTGGATTACAAGCAGATGGCTATGGTCCGCCAATGGAGTATGTGAGGATGCAGGAAGACGGAAGAGAGACGGGTGGAGAAGAGACGAGTGAAGCTTCTAGTAACGAGGGTAATACATCACAGATACCTGATGAGGATTTGAAGTCGATGGAAGATGAGCAGTTGACAACAGTTGGTGAATTTCTAGGGAGCGGGTTTAATGAAGTACAAATTAGGGTCCCGGAGGTTGAGGTTGTGCAAGAGGAAGAGGTTTGATTTCTAAGATGAGATTGAACATGTAGCACTAGATTTGAGACCGGTAGGGCTGGAGACATTGAAGCATTAACGCCTTCACGGTTGAGGTTTACGAGAGAATCTTTGAACATTGCAGACATTGTAGTGAATTAGATTTTCAGCAGGTCTGAAGCCAACCAGGACACATGAACGTGAGGTGGATCGGTACAGCAGGCGTAACATGGATGAGTACATGAATTGATGGTGCTTCTAAAAGCTTTGTTCATAATTCCCAAGGGACGACAATGGTGAGGTCCTGGCGACTGGTAGGAGCATAACTTGCAAAGAAGGAAATAGCAAAACGTTCTATCTTTCATATCCAAGAATTCTTTGCAGGGCAGGGTGACGAACGATCACGTCGCTTGGCCTTCTCTAGAAGATGATAGATGTGCAGATCTCTGCCCAATTTCTGAGGTTTAGGGTAGGAGAATGGAAGCTGCCCATGAAATTTTTATGCACAACCACACTAATCTTGCAGGTAAGACTCTGAGATACCAGTGTGAAACAGTTGTTAGCAGAAGACTATCTGCCTTGTCTTTCTAACACCTTGGCCATATACAAAACACTGGAGTGTGAGAAGTAAATGATTTCTCTACAGAGGTGTTTTCTTTTGGTTAAGGATGGTTACATAATAGTGGCGTTCTTGCTGACATGATTCGCGTCGTGTAGATATTTAAATGTATTTACTTGCAGAAATACCAGTATTTCATGAGAACGGAACGTGCTTAGCGTGTGCAATGAACAATGCCACGAGTAAATGAAACGGCAGTTCCAAGTATTTTGAGATTGCTCAAGAAGAGAGTGCTACAGCTGAATAAGGGGCTCTTATAATTCAGAAGGACTTCTGAAAGAACCGAATGTAAAGGGCCACTCGGCTGCCTTGATAGCTTGTGCAACGTCAAACTCTCCCTTCTTCTCCTTCAATGTCAAATAACATGTCATTTGATTGAGCCACAAAACCCTATCAACGGGACAACCTAGGGTGCTGAAGCGGAGCAGGAGCTCATCTTGAGATGGCAACGGCAAACCATTGGTAGACGATACTAGAAACATGGAAGAGCGGTCGGGTGTAGGAATGGGGCCCTCCAGAGGAAGAAAGGGCAGGTCGCATCGCCGTACTGCTATTCTGTTTCCATATTCTTTTACTGCCTGGAAACATCAAAACCTTACTGGACTTAGCACCATTACGACACATTTCTTCAATAAGAGTATGTTCGTACTAAAGAATGAGCAAAACAAAAACCGGCTTTTTCTGAATGATCATATCAACTGTGGCACATGTAATACATAATGGAAAAAGTCTGTCAGATTTTATTCACCAGAATGTCCACAGGACTACTGCCAAGAGCACAAATTCTTCCTCGGGCTTCAAGGAGCTTGCAAAGCCATGAAAATATTGTTCCGGTCATGTAGGCATCGAATCTGCATTCAGTACAATACGTCTAATTAGAGCAATATAGATATCTTGATCACTTCCTAGTAAGCAGACCAGAAACCATATCTGACGTAAATTAAGCGTGGATCAAAGTTCCTGATATTTTGGAACCCTCATTTGGCCTCAAAAGAACATACCCAGCTTCATGGTAGCGGCCTAACTCATCAGATGTACTTTTGTATCGATCAAACTGGTCAGCATGATCCACTCTTGGTAATTGCACGTTAGTCAATTGTCCGGAGTCTGTTACAAATACCAGATAAAGAGTTTCCATCCTTCAGGTAGGGATGATATCCAAAAAGATAGCAGTAATGAACAAGAAAACGTTAGAAAATTCTTAGGTCATCACGTAAATCGTCTGATAAATCTGATATCAATAACATGGTGGGTTACATATCTCATAAGAGCATACAAGACAACCTAAAAACGTTCTGAATTTTGTGATTCAGACACATGTTTCAAATACATTGCCTTGCTTAAAGGATATATTCTCTTACCAGAAGAGAGATTTGCAGTAATCACGTGCACACTTTGGGCTTCTTCTTGGTTTTGCACTGTGCTGGGTTCCATTGATCCCTCTCCATTGACATCATGTACATCATTTGCAGGATCAGGAATACTCGCCAATTCCTCGTTACTTTCTTTCACGTCTTCATCTCCCTTCACATCATCATGTTTCGGTGCCAGAGAAGTGTGAAGTTCCTCAAGTGAAGTAGCAGGAAGGAGTACGGGAAAGAATTCAGCCAAGTACTTGGTGTCGTAAACCCCACCTGGAAATAGAAGCTTAACCTATTCAACACCCCCATAAACTTATCAGCGTAGATTCTTACTTGGAAAGATTTCTCTATCCAAGAAAGCACGTCACAGGCAGAGTATCATGCTTCTTGTGGCTGTGACGTACTCAATATTAAAAACAAGTACTTACATTCACAGTTGCATGAACAGAATGAATATTCTGATGTGATGTAAATATGAAAACGAATAAGTCTCAAACCAGCAAAGCAGGTTACCATACTCCTAGATATAGTGCAAAGCCCTCTTCTCAAAATTAAGAGGGCAGTCCAGCCATTTAGGGTTTATTATACATGAGCAGTACCTCAGGCCTTTCTGTAACACAATCAGATAAAGATTCAACATTGCGTAGCAATATGCATCCATCTCATCCACTTCACTTACATGCGCCCGAAACTCATCTAAAGTTGGAGGAAGGGTTCCAATAAATTGCTGATACAGATATGCTAAGTCTAGTAGCATGTTGTGTCCCACAATCGGCTTGTTGCAAGTCGTTAGACACTGCATCACGTTCGCAAACCCTTTAGATCGTTCCAGTTGCTTTTGCCTCTTCGCAGCCACTTCAGATTCCTGAGCTGCAACGACTGCTGATGTGGCTCTCGTCAACTTCAAACTAGACTTACGAGCCCCCGGGGTCCTCTGCCACCAACACCACTCATTTCAACACTCACTGATACGCTGACTGGAATTGCACTCACATGGTAAGCACAATTTGATAATGATAATATACATGATAATGTGCGTGTGCAAGGTTCATGCAATGACTTCTACAACAGCTAGTGACAATGAACCCGAAAATTATCGCATAAAAGAACCTACCAAAAGCTCCACAAAGAAATCTGATTTGCCAAACTCTTGCTCCAAATGTTGGTATAAAGCAGCACGAAGATAGCTATTACTGGGTTCCAATACAAGCGTGGCAGGGTCTGAATCCGAGCTTTCACTTGAAGCCTCCCTTGCAACAGTGCGTTCTACCCATGTGCGCACAGTTTCCAATTGTTGTTCAACAAAATTGCGATCCTCCTCCTTTGTCAAGACAATCGGGTCTCTTGAATCCCGCGCCTCAGATTTTTTGTCCAGCTTCAGCTGCTCAAGAGTGACATACGGTATACCTGCATCACACTTTGGTGACTAATAAATATAGAAATCCCGTGCCCGACAATTCGTGTTCAGAAACTGCATCTTTACAGTCTTTAATTAGACAACCGAACCCAAACTCGTACTCGATATGTTATTTCTGAAAAAATTTCAACAGCGTTAATGAAGATAGTATATGAACCTGAGTATATGAACTTGTTGAAGTCAAAACCGTGCTCACGAAGAAAATCTAAAGACGAAGCCTGTAATACGAGCAGTAAATTAGCCGTATGATAAGAGTAACATCACTTCACATAAGTTTGATGATGGAGTCCCAAACTAGAAAGATCGTATAAAGATGAAAAAATGATACGATTGCTGTACCTGACAAGTAAATCGCACGTCTGATCCTCCATTAGAACGCGGAAAGGTGTAGAAGTTGAAGGTTTGGGCTTGATAGCAGCTATCCTCAACATTCCAGTGGAATGCGGACAGCCCAAACTGTCCAAGAGAATTTTTTAAAGAACAAGAAAATCACTGAGATTATATTAGAATAGGAATATAACATGTGACAAATGCAGTCTATTTCCAGAGTGTGAACTTAAAGAAGCGCACCTGATTGTGTGCCTATGTATGAAGATCATGTAGAATTGGATACAGTATGAAAAACATCAAGGTAAGAAATAAACCTGCATTATGAGAAAATGCTGGGCGGATGTCCTAACTCTCGCGTAAAGCTGTTCGGCATCATCCAGGACCTCTTCTCTTCTGCATTTAATAGGACATGAACATCGTAAGCATACCACGCCCGTGAACTCTGAACCCTGCAACACATGACTCATGGTGACGCAACATCACGGCATAAGATTATTCCAAATAAGAGTGAGTAATGTGCTCTACAACAGCTTTCAGGAACGCATGAAGCGCGATAATTTTGAGTTCAATCCCTGAAAATGATTACAAAATAGATCACATACCGGCTATCAGTAATACTAATCAATGCGCCCTTGAACCTAGTTACCATAATTAAGTTGTTAATATTCTTCACACTGAGCCACTAGAGCTCACGCAAATTTCCTCAAGGGAGTAGGGTAACAACCCAGAAACCTAAAACCCACAGTTAAGAATTCAAGAAATTCGAAAAAATCTATTAAACTGCAAGCAATACCTCATTAAAGCCTATTTCTTACATTTCAGCTCACCTTAATTAAGTTGCCAAACAACGTACCGCGGATGCGTGAGTGTGAGGCCTGAGAATTCTCCATCGATTGCAATGAATTGGCAAGAAGAAATGGCCGACTCAATACAAGGCAACAGCTCTTCAAAATTTCCGTAGGTGACCTCCATCGCCACCGCTCCGCACCCAAAATTCTCTGCCTCGTTAATATCTTGCAAGCTGAGTGACGAGTTTTAAACTTTGCCACCCAGAGTGTGCTTCTACTCACAGCTTTGAACATCTGGATGAAAGCACTTCTGTTCATCATCAATTGTACTTGTCTGACGGATGCATTCCATCAGTACCGACTTCTCCGGCCCGTGTTTAGAGCTTTTAGCAACCATACCGAAGTATCATCAGCGATTCACTAGCTACAGTCGTGACTATTTTGTGAGACACATTGGAGTAGGTCACAAAAATCCCCCTGTGGACGGTCGTTACAATGTCAGCATATGTCCATAACAAATGAGATTGGTGTTCGCCATGTGATTCAGTGCTCGTTGGCAAATATTCTTCGTTAAGCATTTTCATTGTTTGGAGATACTTCGACTCTGTGAGAAACGGCCAGGCTAGTGGCAAGGGTTAGCAGGGGTGTGGAAGAGGTCGGAAGCTCGATACTAACTTACAGCCTTGTGATCATCCTCAAGTGTCACAGACAGTCTTTCACCACGGAAACGTATCCTTTCTCAAGAACGCGTGACGACCATGGTAAGTTTGCGACATCGCCTAATCGTGACCAATACTGGACAACCCTTTCCCGAATCCAAGCCCTGCACTGTAGAAATGAGAACATCTACAACCTCAACCCCCTGTTTGCTCTCAGACTAGAACAGGAGCTGTGGAAAACCTGTGATTAAGGGCTGCAAGGATATGTTATCCTATCAATCAGCCCAATCACGGACAAATGCTTCGCAGCAGAAGAGAAAATGGTCCAGCCATTGCAAAAGCAGCTACTGCGTTCCTGAACTGCACAGTCACCATGACTCTGAGAACCCGGCAGCAATGGCTTTGCTCGGCACCGCAAGTGCGGTCGATGTGCACAGGCAAAGCTTCCATTCTCTGGTGCGGCGATAGCGTGGAACGTTGGAGGTAAGGTTCTCACTGACAACCAGCTTTATAGCTTTCCACCTTCATGATGCGACACTGATCACTCTTCGCTTCTAACGTCTCACTTACATTTTTAAACATTTTATTGATAGATTGATTTGTGTATGTAAGTGTTGTGCATTTGTCCCTGTATGGAAAATAGCCAAAACTCTACATATTGTTCTCATATAGATACTGATGTATCCAATAGAAATTTGTTCAATAGAAATGTGTCTAGAGTTTCAAATCAAATATAAGCATTGGATTGGATGGTGTTGTAGGAGAAGGATGAGTTAGTTTCAAATCAAATATAAGCATTGATGGTGTTGTAGGAGAAGGATGTGTTAGTTTCAAATCAAATATAAGCATTGATGGTGTTGTAGGAGAAGGATGTGTTAGTTTCAAATCAAATATAAGCATTGGATGGTGTTGTAGGAGAAGGATGTGTTAGAGGAAAGTGGATCAATAGTAGAACAATGAATTAAAGAATTGCTAGTGTCCACTATTGGTTCTTCAAGTTAAAGATGATATTTTTAAATGCAACATATACTTGTTTTTATCATTTTTTAAAATTTTGTCCTTAGTAAAATTGGGTCGTTTAAAATAGAACCTATGACTTTTAGCCTTGCTCTTTATATTCTCAATTAATACTTTCTAAAAATAATATTCTATCTTTATTCTATACAACCATAGAGAATCACCTCGAAATTGAGCATTAGAAATGATAAATATTTGAAATTAGTATTGATCTAAAAAAGAATTTGGACATGTCTAATTTTTTTTTAATAAGTCAACTTAAGATAATAGCTTAAAGGTGATGAGAGTAGCCTTAGAGAAGATACAATTTCTTAAAATAATATTGTATGATATACTAAATTATTATTTAAATAAGCTAAAGCTTGTGGCACCTCTTAGGATTATACATGGGACCTCTTAACTATTAAGAACTATGCTTATTACTTAGGAGAGCCTTTGTAATATATATTCTAAAACTACAATAATCAAATATTTTCTTTAAAAATGGTTCTACTTAAATTTGATTAGTCATATTTGATAATTTTTTAAATAATATTTAATTGTAGATTGTTTTATGACATATTTTATACAATTATATCCTACTTCATTAAAAAAATTATTTTATATTATATGTTTAATATTTTATTATAAATATTTCTTTTCTTTTCTTCTCTTTTTAAATTTTTATTAAACAACCAATCCACTAATTTTTTTATTCTAATGCCTTTTAATCTAAGAAAATAATAGTAATTTTTTTTTTAAAAGGAAATATTTTTATTAAAAAAAAAATACAAAAAAAATATCAGCCAAGTGATTGATGTTAGTTTACTTTTTTAATTGATGTTTTTAAATAACTATAATAGCCAATTCTTAATCATAATTTTTTAAGCTCATAATAAATTTATGTTATTTTATTATATTATAGATCTTATATTATAGATTTTTAATTACGAATCTTAAGTAAGTTTAATAGATGGTCTAAAAATAATGTTTGTCATCTCTAGTAAAATTTTTGGATGTTCAAATGTAATAAAGGCATCTCAAATGTGCTTACAATGTTTGGATGCTCAAATGTAATAAAGCCATCTCCAAAAATTAGAATCATTTCTACAAAAAAAGTTAAATAAATCTAGAAATATATTTAAAAATTCTATTTTTTATAATACATTTTGAAAGATGATTAATAAAATAATTTTATTACTATTACAAATCTATATAAGAAAAAGAATATCAAGGATGATGTATTTGTATAAAAAAATAGAATTTTATTATAATTATTTGTAAAAATATTATTTTTAAAAATCAAAAAAATACAATACATAATAATTTAAGTACTAATTTTATTTATAAAAACCTATACACATTAAAGATAATAAGTGAATATAATTTTGAATTTAAACAAAAACATGATATAATAAAAAATGAAAATTATTATTATTATAAAAATAGACATGTGGTATTAGAATGTTGGCTTTTAATCATAAAATTTGATCTAAAAATAAGATATAACCAAAAACATTATAAATTGATTTATTATGGTCATATATACTTAATTTAGATTTTTAAAAAACTTAAATATATCAATATATAGAAGTAAGTAGATATAAATCATTCTTGTAGATTTTTTTATTATTATTATTATTATTATTATTATTTTATATATTTAATAATTTAGATCATATGCATTAGATACTTAGCCATCTAAAAATAAATAAGCCATGAAGCCAAACTTAAGAACTAGCCAATTAATAATGTTTATCAACTAGCTACAACTCAAGCCAGTTAATCTACTAAGCTAATATTTTACAATCCTTTGATTTTCTTGCTTTTTTTTGTTTAATTCATTTTATTGTTTCTACGTGCATTTGTATTATGATGCAAAGACATTATGGATGATTATAAGGCTAGCAAGAATCCATTTATAAGCAATACTGATAATGAATTAGAAAGCCATATAAAAAGATGATATACTTGTTTTCAATTACAATCTTAACAATACTTTGAAATATAATATAAAAGTATTAATCTCATGGATATGAGACCATTTTTAAGTTATTGATGGTTGCTCAATGTACATAGAATGTCAATTAAAAAATGCTCAAAATGTTTATTTGCATATCCAATCAGCTTTGAGTGGTATTCTTGCTTATCACTTTAGAGCTGCCTATGAGATTAATAAAGATGGTGGTATTGCTAAATATTATACATAAACATATTTTTTGATAATCAAGCTTTGAACTGGCACAATATCATGGGTAATGACAAACATACCAAAATACTAAAAGTACCAATACTTTGAATTGTAGACCTTTTTTTTTTTTTTTTAATGCCGTTAAATAGTTATCATTCAGGAATCTTGTAAAATCACTCGTGTACAAAGCCCTCATGTTGGTGTATACTATTGCAATGAAGACAAAACTTTTGAAGCATGAAAGCTACTTGCTTAATTTTGCCTAAGCTACTATGTTTTTGGATCTATGTTAAGATAAGTTCTACTTTGATGTCAAGTTTATTATGGACATTATTTCTAATATTATCTTTGCTGACAATAAAATAGCACTAATTAATCTTGGAAGTACAAAAAAATGGACAAAATAAAAGAATATTAATTTGTTTAAGAAAAAATATGATGAAGATGAAAATTAAGACAAGATTTCTTGCTATTTGTTGTTATGGAATTATCTGTTCTTTTAAAAACAACATTTTATGATAACAACTTGTTTTTCCAACAAGTGTACTCTAACATCTTGAGTAAAAACTTGGAAATGAAAATTTTCCTATAATCTTAGAATTAAATCATAGATGTATTTAGTAGTTATTAGTAAGACCAAGGTTAGCTAATTGAAGTTGCAATCATCTATCAATTAAGTTGCATCTAGATCTAAATATAGTCTTTAATACTATATAATATTTTAAATATATATATATATATATATATATATATATTTTATAGAAATAAGATACATTCTATTCAAGATGATGTTGAAATCTTAGTAGTTGTAGATCCAAGCAATATTATCTTTGTTGTTTGTGTTGGTAAATGTTTTATGTTAAAATAGTAGGATTTTATTTTTAAATTACATTGTTACTAGTATTTTATTTATTTATGTAACTTCATTATTAAATCAGTAAATATGTTTATATTTTTATTCGAAATATAAATTATATGTTTGATTTTAAGGAAAAAGCATAGTTATAATAATAATAAAAAAAATGTCACTTAATAATAATAAAAATAATAAATCATTTTGTATAAAGTAATTGTTGCAAGATTTAAAGGACAAAGAATAAACATCAAAAGCCCTTTAATGAGAAATTTTGGAACTTTCAAACATCACAAATATTAATCAAAAGAAAATGTTAGTCTATAAAAGTGACTAAATAATGTGTAATTTAAAAATATATATATTTACACACATTCATGCACCTTCTGCACTACCATATAATGGAAATATAACAATCGAGTGAGATTCTTAAAGATCAAAACAATGCAATCAACTTTGCATATTAATAGATGAATAGATGTTACCATAAGATATCCTTTCTTAATACTTTGTGGACAAGTCCAATAAAATCTTTAGCTATACATATTTATCCTCTAAACTATAACTTCTTTGGATCACCTCTACTGTAATAAATGCATTTTTCTTATAAGCTTTAGAATAGTGAGGTCAATATCTACCTTGTGTAAGATACCACCATTGAGTAGCAAAATAAATTGCAATAGCAAGTGCTAATTTATTTTCAATTTTTATAAACTTAGTTGCTTGTGCAAATAATTTACTTTTTAGTAATATTTACTTCTTATGCTTCTAGTTTCCTCTCAACAAGATATTGATGTTGTTCAATAAATTCTTTTTAAAATGTAATTAAAAGTATTTTTTAGTCTATTCAAAGAGGATTTTATTATTATAAATCTTAAAGAGTGGTGAAACAATTTGATGTTGCAAAACCTATATCTTCTTTAAATTTGGTTTCTAAAGACCTTACAAAGTCTCTCTTATGTCCACAAGTTTTGTTATTGTTGAAAGAAATATTTTCATATTTCTAAAATACAAATCTCTTTTGCTTATTGTTATAAATGCACTTTTTAAAACTTAATATTATCATAATTTAATTTATTGAAAATATAACAAAGATCAATGATGACTTATACGAACAAATTCTTGTATTTAACTGAAATTAAAATATTTAATACTGTTCAATGAAATAAACATACACATATATATATATATATATATATATATATACATAATATTGATATTATTTCAAGATCAACACCCAAAAACCCTCCATAGTACAATTCTCCTACCAAATTCAGTGCAGGCAATGCACTACTCAATACACAAATTTCTCACTAACCCAATTTTAAATATATATATATATGTATTTGCAATATGTGTTTGTTTCCTTGGTCCCAATGACAGACTCTGACACCCACTAATAGTTGAAAGAAAGAGGATGATGAAGAATTACCGTCCTCCATCACCACTTCCAAGTGCTCGCCAAGCTTTCTTACAAGACCCGGCGTCGTCATTCCAAATGACAGGACGACATTGGGCAGACCCAGAGGGAGGTGGAGAACGGAAGCTTCACACACACTCTCACTCACACTCACTCACTCACGAAGGAAACGAAGGGCAAAGGAAGGGGAGCCCCGCCGTGAGCCGAGAGCGGAGAGCAAGCATTCCCAACGGAAGTCTCCGTCAATGCGGTGCCGGAGCCGACGACGACGACGATGATGGGCTGTGATTCTTCTCAACTGCGTTGCAGTAGCCGGAATGGTGCAGGAGCCTGTCATCGCAATGGATGCATTGCCCTGTAGTAAGTAGTAGTAGTATCTAGGTATCTCGACTGTGACTACTCCAACGACCGACCGTGGGCGAAGCGCCGAGGAGTGATCGACGGAATTCCGTCAATTCAATCACTGGTGGGGTGCGGGGGATAATTGGGTTGAGTTGAGGTTGGGTGGGGGTGGGGGTGGGGGTGTCTGTGTGTTTGGTTGTAGTGTCTGGGTGCGGTGGCGGTACAGGGAGTCGTCGATTGGGGTGACGGTTGCGTGAAAGGAAGCTGCTGTAGCTCAGTGTGACGCTGTGGAGTCGGGAGCAGAGGTTGCGATTGGGATCTTAGGGCGATCCTAGGGGTGCAATGAGTTGACTGCCAAATTGGGTGGTGGTGGTGGTGGGCAGAGTGGGAAGGTGGAGGAAGGATTGGGGAAGAGGTTGAGGAAGAGAAAGAGAAAGAGAAAGAGTTTGTTGTTGTTGTTGGGGAAGGGGAGGGGGCGACGGATGATGCCCATGGGCGTAGTCCGCGACGATGAGTCCCAGGCCGCTGCTGGCTCGCCGCCTGCGCCCACCCCTCCCCCAATCGCCAAGCCGACGCTGCGATCCCACTCGCGCTCCAGGGCGCACAAGGCGCGCTCCCAACACCCGCCGCTGGGCGATGGCGATGCGCCCTTGCCCCCACCGCAAGGAACAGCAACACCAGGAGGAGGAGGAGCAGCAGCAGTGGGCGCACCAGGGGCCATGGATGCCGAGGCTATGGCGGCGGGGCAGCGGCGGCGTCGACGACGCCGACGACAGCGGGGCAAGAACTCGGATGTGCCGCTTGACAATCGCACGCGAATTAAGAGGCGTGTCAAGTACTTGCTCATGAAAATGCGAGTCGACCAGAACCTGCTGGATGCGTACTCCGGGGAGGGTTGGAAGGGGCAGAGGTGGGTGATGTCGACTTTAATTTGTTTCTGTCGTTGACAGGCGTGTATGAGTGTCCTGTGGACCGGATCGTGCTGCTAGGGAGGACATTTCATTGAACGCACAATCGCTATTTTATTTCTCGTTTTTTATGAATCGAATCTCAATTCTGTTTCCTTTCCTTTGCTTTTGTTTTTGGGGCTGTCGTGGTAGTATCTCAAGTCGGATTTGTTGGTTTCCACAATAATTTGTCTCCGGCTCCCTTTCTTGTCCGCGAATTTCGAATTGGCTATCGCCGATTTCGGTCCATTTACATAGGAATTCTCTTTTTGGCATATCCAGTCGGGAAAAGATCAGGCCGGAGCAAGAACTACAGCGTGCTGAAGCGCAGATCCTGCATTCGAAATTGGCCATACGGGAGGCTATTCATGAATTGGATAACTTGGGGTTAGAAGGCTCGCTCGACGAAAATGCATTTGATGCTGAAGGCCGTGTTTACCATGAAGAGGTATACGTCGACACTTAGAAGTTTGCAGGCTTGATAGTCAACTGAAAGCATCTCTCAGGTTATTTACATGGTGTTTATTTCGTCAGGACATTCCAAACAAGTCCCCGACTGAATTAGGGTTTTCCTATGATTAGCGCGATACGGTCACACTGTGCTTTGCCTGATTCATCATTACGATGAATTCTTTTCTCTACTTCAGAAGGCTTGTACAGTTCTGTAAGATATGTTGGTGAAAATTTTGGAGCTGTTTACGAATTCTCGGGTCTTCTCGTAATACATAGTAGCCCTCATATCACTCGAGCTTGAACTTTCTGCTGTCTTAACATTGGGTTCAGATATTTTGTGCCAAGTGCCGATCTCAAGATGCTCTACCTGACAACGACATTATTTTATGTGACGGCGCATGCAACAGAGGCTTCCATCAGTACTGTTTAGACCCACCTTTAGCTACGATCAACAGTAAGAACATTTTACTGGAAATTTTCTCAAGCTAACGATTCACTCAGTTGAATTGCATTTCTAAAGTGAAGTACTATCTTGCTTTGGTGTTTTCCATGTTACATCTGAAATTTGCTTTGACTGTAACTAATTTCCGATTGGGATATGCAGTTCCTCCTGGAGACGAAGGGTGGTTGTGTCCTGTATGTGAGTGCAAGATGGAGTGCATTGAAGTTATTAATGCATACTTGGGCACACACTTTGAGGTGGAGAATAGTTGGGAGGTGAGCGCTACGGTCATTGAACTACGTGCTTAATAAATTTCGATCCTCTATGGAGGACTTTTTATGGATTTTTTATGGTTGCTGTAAGATGCTAAGCATTTCAGAAGCCATGGAAATCAAAGAGATTAGAGTCTAGAGGTCCAGGGATTGCCTTGCAAGAGAAGTTCATTTTTTCCGAGGAGGTCCAGCCACTCGCGTAAAATGAGTTGTTTACACTCGGTCCCCGGACATGCAGCGCGATCTGGTTGCTTTATGAGAAAGTGGATATTGCCTACTGATTGTTCGACCAACTCGCAGGAGTTGTTTTCTGAAGAAGCTCTCGTGGCTGCGGGCGGTAGAACTCAAGGGGTCACAGATGGTGATTTTCCTTCCTCAGACTCAGAAGACGACGATTATAACCCTGAAGGAGCGGAGAAGCGGACAGACAGTGAAAGCGAAGGCGAAAGTGATGAAGGTGGGGGAGATAGTGATTCAGGAAGCGATTTTAGGGAAAATGAAGCGTCTGGTAGTGACAAAGATGAGCAAGATCCAATGCAGGCAACTAATTTAGAGAGACTTGCGAGAACAGCAAAGCGGACCAGCAAGGAAGGAAGTGGAGGTCCAGAATCTTCAGGCAGTGATGACTCAGAAGTTTTTCTTGTTGATGGGTTTACGGATGGTGGAGTCAAATTAGGTTTAAGACGTAGAGACTCACAAGCAGAAGAATCAGCTTCAGACGAGGAAACCATGGTTATAGCAGGAAAAAGACATCGAAAAGCAGTAGACTACAAGAGATTACATGATGTAAGTGTCACTGATGGACATGCTCACATTATTCTTTTTCCTGTCGATATCATTCGATTTGTATTATGAGCAGCAAATTTAATTTTATTTTATCTTACTTTTCCAGTGAAGCATCATTGTCCACGTGTAAATCTTTAGTTACAGATATATGCGTTCTGAGTAATTTGAGTCTTGGTCTTGCTGAAGGAAATGTTTGGGAACATGGAGATTGATGTGGACGATATCATATCCGAAGATGAGGATTGGGGTCCGAAACGCCGTCGGAGAAGAACCATTCCTGATGACCCAAGCAGGTCTAGACCTCCTCGAGTTCGACGGAGAAAGGCGCGAACCTCAACTGGAGATGCTTTAAAAGAAGTTGATGCAGATGGGGTACCATCAGATTTACCCTCTGGGTCACAAGGCGAGGGAGCAGCCGATACTCTTGAAGCTGTTAGAGACAAACGAATGTGGAGGAAGTTGCCTGATTCTGCTGTTGAGGTATGTTCCAACTCAGGCGTATAAATGTATGAGGGAGTATGACTCAGGAGGCAGTTTTCAGTGATGAGATGTTTGGATTTGTAGTAGTTGGAAGTTGGATGCATCTTCATTAGTTCTCGCGTTTGCTCGAAAACTCCACTGATTCTCTTTTTAGATGTACAATAAGTACAATTGACGAATTTCCTTTACGTTTTTCGCTTCTAAAAGTTCACAGTTTGAGGATATCATTGGTCACTGTTTCTCCTGCTTTCTGGAAGAGTGTATTTCTGATGTTTCTGATCCATCACTTTGAAATTGGTCATGTTCGTTGACGGGGGCATGATTCTGCATTGTATCAGTTGCTGATGTCATCTTGCACTGAATGCAGACGTTACGACTGGCTGCGGCAGTGACGACACTGCCCTCAAAATCCCGTAAAGAGGAGTTGGCGACACAGCTTGGCTTGAGTTTTTCACAAGTGAGTTTTTTCATAGCTGCTGTGCCGTCATGAACAAATTCTGATTAATTGCTCATAAGGTTTTGGTAGTCTATCTGTGATGTTTTTGTTTTGCGAGCTGTGTGAAATAACTGTTCCATCTTCGTCTTACTGAACGTTGTGGCACTTTTTGGCTCTATGTACAGGTCCATGGATGGTTTAAAAATCAGCGGTATTTAGCTCTCAGAAATGGGTTGGCGATTTCAAAGCGACCAGCAGCTGGGCGGATGGCGGCCACTGTAACCATACAATCGGAACACGACAACAATTCAAGTGCCTATTTAACTGAGAAGTTGGATGAAGTCCAAATGCGACTTTTTGAACTGAAGCAAACTTTGGAAGATTTCGCTAAGAATTCATCTGGTTTAGGCGGTGGAGAATCAGATAACAGTTTTGAAAATGGAGGAATTGGACTTCCTGCAAATGGGAAACGGATTATCTATGTCCCAGTGGCTGAGGTTAGAGAACGGCCTTCTGTGAGTACCCATACTAGCGCATGTTGAGTAATCAGATTAGATGTTGGTCTGTCCCTTAGTTTCAACTTCTATTATCGATTCTTTTGTAGACTCACCATTCAAGATATGGCAGTTCCTCCATTTTTGTATAGACAGACTTAAAGTGGAGTCTGCTTCACCTGGTTCAAACTATTTCATGTAACTAGAAGTACGAGCCTTCAAGTGGCGCGCATTCTTTTAACGTTGTCCTTATCTCGTTTATGTTACGTATTCTGTGTGATATCTGCAGCTTTTCTCTGACAGCTGTCCGCTTTCATTATTAGCAGTGTTAAATTGCGAGGTGAATTACAAGAGGAATCTACGTATATTCATGTGTTCATGGCCTAGCTGCTTAGCGTACGGGGTTTTGCATGCCAACTGCCCTTGTCATATTGGATCATGTTTCGAAGGAATAGGTGGGTGAAATTGAGAGGAATTGGAGTTTTAGGCGTCGATGGCTTCGAGATTAGTGCGGACACTTCCCGCTGCAGTGAAGGGTAGTGAATAAATTATTGCAATAATGTTCACGTTTACGATTAAGCGAACGCACACAGATATTAAGACATTCTACACACGATAATTATACATATGGGTAGAAACTAGCAAACATTGGATAACAGAAGGTTTTCCATCCTGTATTTTTCTGCCTGTAGCAAAGAAATTGCAACATCATCAAGTGTATATCACTATCTACATCCTGTTAGGATTAGTTAGTGGTGATAATAGAAGAGTGCTACTGGTAGTATAGTTGTAAGATAAAAAGTACCGTATGTCCTGAACGAAAATGTAGGTAAATGTACACTGACAGGAGCATTGTCAACGTTGAGACATTACACTTCGGGAGTACCCTGTACTTAAAGTAGTTCGTTTTTTACTTGTATCAGCCTGCACATATCAGATCTACCTGTACTTTCCTTAAGAGTTCATAGCAGATGTGGAACATTCGGTCTCTTACCTTGGTCGCCCCAACAACATAACACATAACATAATTTACAATTTGTTTCTAGTCCCAATCAAGAGTTTATTCAAGGCAGGATTCCTCTGATATTTGAATGTCCAACTCATGGCATCGCATGCTTCTCATGCGATCCAGCAAAAATATCGGCCTGTCCCGGAAGCTCCAACTGTTCATAGTTCAGTGAGGCTCTATATTCTACTTTTCGGACATGGGCGATTGCTCCTAAAAATAAATTAAAGTTCCAAAATGTGAAACACCGGGACAATTCAAAATAGATTGGTGAAAGGCCTCATCGTAAACGTGCACCGTATATCCTAAAGAACCTGATCCCCTATGATTCTCATTACAGGTTCTCATGAAATCACCAAAAGTAAAGTATGCATCTTCATCTTCGACTCTTCAACTTAGCCAGCGCAGCACGCAATGGCTTGGCCGCATTCACCATGTTCGTCAAGGCTGGCACCACCTCACCATACTTCCTCGTCTTCAAACCGCAGTCGGGGTTGATCCGGAGAACCTTAGACTCTAACACGGCCAACATCTGCCACAGCAAACGAGTTTCAGACACGGTATACAAAGACTTTTCCCTGAGGAACGCTCATTAATCTACCATCTTCACAACTTTCAGATCTCAAAACGGGCAACTCGATGTTATGCAGTCTGCCCACATTCCTGCTCACTTAATAACTACCCAGTGCCTCAAATTACCTTGCGAGCGCTGTCGGCCATCTCCTCGGTTGGCGGGATACGTGGAGAGTTGATGTCGTGAAGGTGTGCACTACGGAGCTGGAATCAGGCCCAATTCCAGCTCCGTAGTGCACACCTTCACGGAACACACTCAACAACTTTTCATCCGATCGGGAGTTCTCAATCGTGATTACATCTGCGTCCATATCGATGATGCTGTGGATAATATCGTTGAAGTTTGAGTAGCACATGTGAGTATGGATCTGGATGGTATCCTTGACCCCGCATGTGGTGATTCTGAACCCATGAACTGCCCATCTCAGGTAGTCCGCATGCTCGGGCTTGCGCAGGGACAGACCTTCGCGATGCGCAGCCGATCCTAGTCTATCTGGATCACCGTGACGTTGGCCTTCTCCAAGTCCTCCACCTCGTCCTTAATCGGCAGTGCGATCTGGTAGCACGTCTCCGATCTGGGATGGTCATTCCTTACAAATGTCCAGTTCAAAATCGTCACGGGTCCCGTCAACATGCCATTCATTGGCCTTTTGGTCACGCTCTGGGCGTATGTCGACCAGTACACTGTCATGGCCATGGATCGGCTCACGTCACCGAAGATGATAGATGGTTTCACGCACCTAGAGCCATAAGACTGCACCCACCCATTCGCTGAGAAGCAGAAACCGTTCAACTGCTCTCCGAAATATTCGACCATATCATTCCTTTCCGGCTCAACATGCACTAATACGTCGATGTCTAGCTCCTCCTGCAATTTCACTACACTGTCGATCTCCGCCTTAATCGCCTTGTCGTAATCCTCCTCCGAGATCTTCCGGCTCTTCACCTCCCGCCTCACCCTACGGAGCTCTGGCGTCTGTGGGAACGATCCAATCGTTGTAGTAGGCAGAATTGGCAGACTCAAGTACTTCTGCTGCTCCTCCAGACGGTGCGACACAGAAGTTGCACGACGGAGCTCAGAGCCCGCCAAAGTGGCAGCCTGCATTGTCGATTATTAAACGTCAACTTCTGTATGTTCTCTGTGCAATCTGAAATTAAAAACCACGTACGCTGGATAAAAGCACAGCTACAACCACTCGCCGGTACAACAGCACACCTGTTCACGACAATGTTGCACTTACCAATTCCTTCACTGCCTTGTTGTGCACGCGGGGCGAGTTCCTCCTTGACTCCAACGCGATGGCATTAGCCGAGAAAAACTCTTCATCCTTTTCTCCCGACACGACCTTGGCGATGGCTACCACCTCCAACAATTTCTGGGCAGCGAATGCCATCCACGACTTTAACTCGACATCCAACTTCGTCTCGTTCTTCAGATCCACAGCGCAGTGGAGCAGGGAACACGAAGTCGAGACCAGGACATTATATCCTTCCCCAGCTTAGCCTGCAACTCTTTAACAAGTACAGAAGCGGCCAAGTCGTTCGCCCATATGTTACGGCCGTCTACCACACCGGCGAACAAAGTCTTCCCAGCAGTAAGGCAGTACTCCTCAATTATGCTCAAAGTTTTTTTAGCCACGAACCAGATCCACTCCGAAACCGGCAATCGGCAATTCGCACAAGGTCCTGTGTGCCCACAGATAACCACACTAACCACCTCTACAAGATACGACATCATCCGCATCCACTCATCCCCAAATCGCTGACTACCAAAATCATCACATCTGGCTAAGCACATCGTCTGGTAACCTGGTTGCTTACTGATAGGCCTTGGAAGGTAAATCTGTGAAGTACATCTTCACTAACAGCTTCACACCAGGAAGCTCCCCAAGCACAGCATATGCCTTCTTGAAAGCTTCAAACTGAGCAGCTTCCAAGTCCATCACCAGCTTCGGCTCGTCCAGCTGTATCCATGAAGCACCAGCTTCCTTTAGTTCTGTGATCACCTCCCTACAGTGCGCGCACAATGGTAAAAACACGCAACAATAACCTTCCGAATTCATGAAGAAAATCACCTACGAAAATTACAAGAAAAAAATTCAATATTACAGTGGCTTTCAACTGTGCACCTACTTGTACACGGGGAGGATGGCATCGAGGAGGGAAAGAGTATCAAATCCCTTAGGTGCGCTCTTGTCACCCTTCGACAACAGCAGGTAAGTCACTGGGCCAACTAGCACAGGCACGGTGTCGATTCCGAGCTGCGCATCAAAATAGATACAAAACATGTCAACAACTCCCCACTCGATAAATCCCACGCTATACTCGCAAACTGAGTCTTTGGGCCCAACCCCTGTGAACCCTCCAAGCCTTGCACCGAGCGACAAATACTACAGAACGTTTAATGAAGTCCACTGCACCATGTCCATACCTCCTTGGCTTCCTTGTACTCGCTCACAGCTTTGTGTGAAGAGTATATAAACTTGGTCTCACCACTCAACTCTGGAACAATATGGTGGCTGCACACATAACTCAACTGACGATTAGCCTTCCCAGCTCACTCTCAAACTCACCCACTCACAATCATCTGAACAAAGCAATAAACCAAATAGGTCCGGAGCCAGCACGTACTAATTGGTGTCGAACCACTTGGTCATTTCAATGACAGGCTTTGTCTTGTTTCCACGAGCCATGGAGAAGTACACTTCATGTCCAATCTGTCGAAGTTCACAACAGTGCAGACGCGAAAAACCAAATGAGAAGGCGCGGACCTGAAGAAGCGAAGAAGAGATTCGCGGATCTGCGAATCGGGGACTGCGATCGGGAAGAAAAAGACCAGCGACGAGGAAGAAGAAGAAGCGGGGCTATAAGCAAATTCAGAGAGAGAGAGAGGGCGACGGAAGTGGCGGGTTCTGTTGCTTGCAAGCTGTCCCTTCCTTCGATGAATCTGTTCTCCGATCCCTCTTGTCACTGTCACAGTTCGTGAGAGTGTGTTCACACCAGCAGACTAATCGAGGTTTAGTTCAATCTATTTGGGTGTGTTCACATCCAGCGGACCAGTGGGGGATCGATAAGTGCGAGATCCACTTCTCCAACCTAAGCGTGAGAATTGTTCAAAAAGATGTGTTATATTAATTGGCTCGAAAATTTCGGATTTTTTTTGGTAATTTTATATCATTTCATTTCAAAAGATCATTTGTGAAATTTGGTGTGTAATTAGTTAGCTCGTGGATGATCCCATTGCATGATACACTATTGATTGTTCGTTTTCAATAAATAAATGCTAATTTAGCCTCTCTTTTTTGAAAATAATTAGTTTGTAAGTTTATTCTTATGTGAAAATTTAATTTATATCAACTGTGGTGCAGTGTTTAAGTTAAAGTAACGTTATTCTGATAATGTTTAATTGTGCTTGATTGGAACTGTGTTTATGTTTTTACAATTTAACGTTTGGATTTAATCTTCACAACTAAATATCCCTCATTTCCTTGTATGATGCTTTTCTTGTTTTTATATTACGTTTTTATAATTTTAAAAGGAATGGGTTTTCCTCAAAAGTTTATCCTTTGTTATAATACTATCATCTTCAGTAAAGAACTTAAACGTTTCCATACCTTGTTCCTCAATTGCATCATTATATTTGTGATAAAAAGTTCAATTCAATGCATGTGTGTGTCAAATTTTTGTAAATACCAATTGTAGCAAGCTTTAATGTTACAAAAAAAATGAAAGAATCATAATGAGGCAAATGTCAATATCTGCAGTTATATATATATATATATATATCTATATATATATATATATATATATAACTGCAGATATTAACCACAAATATATATATATATATATATATATATAACTGCAGATATTAACCACAAATATATATATATATATATATAACTGCAGATATTAACCACAAATATATATATATATATATATATACAACTGCAGATATTAACCGCAAATATATATATATATATATATATATATAGACACATACAGACAGTAACAAACGCTTCAAACATGTGTATTACTTATTGTACGTGACACAAAGTTGATGAACTTGGAATTTTCTCCAGTCTGAGCACTCTCTTCTATATATAACTTTACATATATAATTTAAGAACGTTATAACGAAAAAATTTAATACATAAAAAACTTGCAGAAAAATCAATTAAAATCCAAATCAATTAAAAAAATAAGCGATTTTTTTAACATAATATAAAATAAAATAAAAATCATATCACTATTCAACAGACATTGCAAAAAAAAATAAAAAAAAATAAATAAAACAACAGAAATAGAGCTCCAAATAATTCTGTTCCTCTATGACAATTCCATTGCACTATTTGTGCACTAAAATTAGGATTTCCCCAACCAACAATCTTATCGAAAGAACTAAGTAATATTCTAAACAACACATTTAAAAAATGCACTACCATGCTTTCTACTCTTGACCCGAGATGGAAACAAGATCTAAAGCTGGATGAGAATAGCAGTGGGTTCTACGACTGGAGTTCTACTAAATGGATAAACCCTTCACAAGGTACTCGCTATTTGTGGCGCTAAATGTAGCCCTATTTCCCTCAGGCAGTCCACTCCAACTAAACTTTCCGAGGAAGGTGGTTCCAGCCGTTCCCAACGTTCCACCCTTCGTGCCCAGAGATGGGAACAGAGAGCCATTCTACGTCAGCCCCTCGGGGAGCTCCTGGGCCATCAGTAACCTACGGCCGAGCCTCACCCATTACCGTGTCCAGTGAAGCTGAAGCAAAAGAGCGACGATGACGGGGTCTGATCGGGCGTCATGACGCTGCAGCTCGCAAGCTATGAAATGACATTGCGATCATCGGCACCCGTCATCATCATTCCAGCTTGAGGACCAGAACCCAGATCTCCAATCGTGTCGATGCAGCCATTTGAAGTACGAGAGTGATCATCAGTGTCGTCGTGGCTTGATGGAGATGTGATGCGGATTGATCACATGGAGTGATCGGTACCAAGTTCAAAATCCTTTCCCCGTGCTCAGACGCACGGCTCTTGCATTCTTCGCTGTCTTTGCAGTTGTGTGGATTCTTAGTGTGGGTGGTGTGTGTTGATGTGATTCGTGAATATGGGGTCACCCACCTCGTCACTTCAGATCAGGTTAGATATCGGAGGAGTTAAGTTTACAACCACGGCGAGCACCCTCGCTAGGAGAAACGCGAATTCAGTACTAGCTGCCGTAGCTAATGATTGCCTCCAGAAAAGCCAAACCCCGGGGTATGAGTGTGAGACCGTGGTTTTTGATCGAGATGGGACGCACTTCAAGCACATCCTGATTTGGCTTCGTGACGGGGTCGTCACCCGCGGGCTGAAGACGTCCGTGTACCTCGAGATTCTTCGAGAAGCAGAGTATTACACGTTGCCGGGTTTGAGGAAGTCTGTCAAGCGGATTCTGGGTACGTACGACGATAAGGTCCCGGAGGACGTCAAAAGTGCTGCTCAGACTCCGGATTTGAGACGATTGGATGTTATACGATTTACTCATTGTGGACTGAAGTTGCGAGGAGTGAATCTGTCGGGGCTTGACCTGTCCAATCTGGATTTAAGTGGTGGAGAATTTCAATATGCTCGACTGTACAATACCAACTTCGAGAATTGTGACCTCCGTGATGCGAACCTTGAATATTGTGACGCTGGTGGGGCTAACTTCAGGAATGCAAATCTTCGGTTTTGCAACTGCACTGGTATGGTCATGCATCGGTGCCGTGGACAGCATCATATGTAAACTCGTAACGACGTGGCTCTGCCGTCAGGGTCGCATTTCAATTGCGTGTTGATTAAACTCGGTTTAGTGCTTGTAATTTATTGCCCATTAGGTCTCTGTGAAACCACTTATGTTTTTATTGCTGAAAATGGAAGTACACGGTTAGTAGATGAAAAACCAAAAAACATCGTGGCCGTCGATGGACTTCAAGTAAGTTTTGTCGAAACATAGCAGTGGGGCCATTCCAGCAGGGGTATTTGAGTAGTTTTGAAGAGCACTAGTGAAACTACAACTAGAAACGCAAAGAGCAGCAACAATGCTAGGAGAAAAGATGTCTGCTCATCTTTGTACTGCCCAGTTATTTTGATACAGTAGAAACTAGTTTGTCACTAACGGAAAGCAATTTTCCAGGTGCGAAGATGGTTGGAGCGGTACTCGATGGTGCGGATATGTTCCTCGCCAAATTCTATTCAGCACGCCTCAAGAATGCAAGTCTTCGCAAGACGATTGCGGTTCGCGCGGAGTTCAACGACGCCAACCTTTCAAGGTCAAATCTGTCGGGAGCATACATGTCGGGAGCGTGCTTGAAAAATGCAAACCTCACGGATGCAAACTTATCAGATGTGGAGTTCAGCTTCAGCAAACACTGGAAAGCTGGAAGAGCTGATTTCCAATATGCAACTCTCACCGGAGCTAACTTCCATCATGCAAAGCTGGAGGCATATTTCCTGAGGAATGCTCGGGACTACGAGAACACCATTAATTTGGACGAAAGCATCCGGAACAAATTGGAACCACGTTTGCCTTGGATGTTGGGAAGAAACTGGTTCAAGGTGCCTGCTTCTAAGTGAATGACATTACTATCACTACCATTCTTCTACCACTGCTGGAGTCTGAAGACAAAAGGCACCCATGCAAAGCAATCAGTCCTAACATCCTGTATGATTCCTCCACTACTGTTGGCAGTGATTGTGTACAGTTGGAGTGTCGGTGAAATGCCGTTCAAGCGGACTTTCCTTCGTTACAACTTTGATTGTTAATTGAACTGCTGGAATCAGCAAACTTTTCTAGAGTTGTGTTGGCGTCACAGGCCATTGTATATGATTTGTAATTAAAAAATAAATGAATGTTCTTAGAAACACCCTGTACATGTGTTTGAAATAGTATAAGCATTTTTATTATATATAAAACATCCTAACTATTATATATTATACATCTTAGGTGTAAGATAAGACATAAACAAGAGAACATGGGAACAAGAGAACATGGAGTAAGGGAATATGGATGATAGAAGGAATGGATGGATGGTAGTGCCAGAGATTACTCTTATACAATATTTTTGATAAATTTTCTTGATTATAAGAAAGAGTTCTAATTTAAACATCTTATTTCAGTAAGATTTATTATATAATTTGTATTGGTATATGGATTTTAAATTTGAGAGATTTAATTTCTTAGTATAAGATTTGCTTGATTCAACAAAGGTTAAAGACAATAACAGTGATTCAATTATGTGCTTAAAATTTTTAATCTTGTGTTTTTATTGTCTTTTATTTTCAACATTGTTAGGTTTTTTGAAGATTAAATTTAGTAACCAAGCAATAAGATTTAAATAATGTATACAATTTGTTCCAAGTATTTATTGAAAATTTTAAAGAAGTTTTATACAAAAGTAATTTAATTTTAAACGATTGGTGATAATAGTAAGAACATATGTGTCTTTATTATTCTATATATCACTATTATAAATTAAATGGGAAATACCATTAGAACTTAGTAATGGTATTTATGGCATAATTTTGTTTCTATCAATATTAATAGAATTTTTATTCTTTTTTCCTAAAAATAAATACCATCATGTTTGATTAGTAATTATAAAGTCAATGTATTAAATTGAGATATTACATTAGATATGTTAATAATGTAAAATTAAAAAAAGAATCTACTTAATTTTGTTATTTATGCCAAACTAGAAAACATCATTTTTCATTTATTTGATTTGTTCCATGTTATTAAATTTTCATTTTACAAATACTTTTATATGTGATATGAAATATATTAAAAAATTCTAAATATTACAATACCATTAAGCTAAGTAAAATATAAATTCTTTCAAATCTATCTAGAATTGTTCTAATGTTTTAATGTTTATAATAATTGCATTAATATCAAATTTTAATTGATGATAAAATTACTACATATCTATACATACATATAATAAAACTGTTATACATAAGATTTTCATATATGTATGTATGTATATGTATATATATGATAGAAGTTGAAGTAATATAATAGCCAATCACTTTCACTAATAAGATACAATGAAAAGATTTAGTTATTTTCATCAAATAAGATATATCATATACAGAATTCTGTTTGAAATTCATTATTATTTTTTGATTTCAAAATAGAACTATTACATGATTAATTTTTATGATTCTTTTGATTTAAACCTAACTAATTGCATGAAAAAAATTTCAAAATATAAAGAATATTTTGTTTTTAAGTAATGATATTAATTCTTGTAATCAATATACTTGCACAATTTTACAAAACATAAAATAAAAAAAAATTAGCTCCAAAGTAATTGTCATTTGTTGATTTAGTACATCAGCATTTAGAGATGGATAGAAACTGCAGGAATCAATGACAAATATTTTTACACATTATTTGTCATGTGAAGTAAAAACTTAGAAATTTACAATTCCACAAGAAAAGAAAAGAAAAACACTCATTGTTGATTGATTGATTGATTGATATATATATATATATATCTATAATTTATTTGAAATGACTTGAGTATTCCAATTCAGACACTAATGGGTGTCAAAGCCATACCAAAAAAGATCTGGCATAACGATTCATTCTGAATTGTCAACTCTGTAGCAGTTTGAGCGAATCAAGCGGGTAGAATCACCAATCAATCATAACTCGAAACTATTTCTGTATTGGAACTTCAATATTCAAGCCAAAGAGTTGTGAAAAACAGCAATACAGGTTCTAGCTGTGGAATTCCTGCTTAGAGCAATGATTTTACTACATTATTTTCTCAATGTAGATGTATCACAGACCTCCAGCTTGGTAATAGCTCTAAGTGTTCGGAAGTCTCCATATCTCTTCTCCCATTCCATCCATCTCTCCCCAAAATTGAATATGTGGCTCAAACATGACATTCTTTGGATCAGTTCCTGGAGTGCATAGCATTCAGCATCCAAGAGAATGCGGGGCACTCGTAGAATCCAGTTGGATGCAGTAACAACAGTTCAAATCGAACAATTTCTACAACTGGGTTACACCTCAAAGCAAAAGAGGAATTCTGTAACAAATGAAGGAATAGCTTCCTTGACATCCAAGGGTTTACAATCTACACGTGCCAAAGGCCATCCCGAGATTTTTTGAGCAATAACTTTAAATTTCAGGTTGGGGTAAAGGTAGCAAAAATACAACAAGGCATTGCTAAGTATTATAAAAAAATAAAAATAAAAATAAAAATGAGCTAGAGGAATACGCTCTATCGATATTTGAGTCCTTTCAACTTCAAAGGACTGTATAATGTGTTGCAACTGAAAGAGAAATTGATGAAATTTCTGTACTAGCTGAAAATAGGAAGTTGGAGATCAAGCTTACTGAGGATAGTATCTAAAGGGTACTCACCTCACTTCAGAGTCTCTGGATCATGAGAGACTAGATAACCTACAAAATGGGAGTAGATCAGATTAGGATGATCAAGTCTTCCATGGTAATACTTACACGGTCATTATCATGAAACGAGGTTGTATCTCCATGATATTTTACAATGAGGGTTTTAGGTGGTTTGAGAACATTTGTGTCAGCGAGAATTACTGGACAGATCAGAGTTGCTGAAGAGATACACAGTGGCACCAATTCATCTAAACGAAATACTGCAGATCAAAGTATCATCTTCTACGGGGTGTGATCGACTCGGATGACTCCACCAGTCTCTCAAGCTCCCGAGAATTGCTTCCGTGGCTCATTGCAGGTAGTTCATCTCCCTCAGCATCAGATGATTCAATGTCGATGTCATGTGCTAACGACTGCCAAGAACGAATTTTTTTAGCACACTACAAGGTTATATAAACCCAGATTCATGCCCATATACAGAATATTTTGACAAGAACAAACTTATAAGATTTAAGTTAGGATCCAAGGCATCTTAGACCACGGTCAGTACGCCGTTCGTAAGTATAAGGTAGGAAAATTGCAGCTGCGAAGAGCTGCAGCAGCGGGTGACATAAGCCATGCTTAATCAATTATCTCAAGCTCGCTTTGCAAAAAACATGCAGGAGGACATGTTGCACTTCAAAATTGACGATTTGCAGAACAGTTTCACAGAATGTATTCACTACTTAGCTTGACATCAGATCTTTCACTTCGCCACATTTTTCAGCACTCCAGCGAAAAAATTCAGACATGAAATCCTAACCTCCACAACCGGTGCTGACGATTAGGCAATTGCATTTCAAAACAGCTACATTTTCTTGTTCAGTTACGAGACTACCTGAAAAAGTTGCCATAAAGGGCAGTTTGGTGTTCTTTTTTTATGTGTGAAGTGCGAGACCACTCGATAGAAATCCTGGTAGTTTTAATATGAAAGAGGGAGCTGTCAATACCTGAGATTGTGACCGAAAGTACATAAATGGAGAGTACCGCAGGAAATTGGAAACGCGTGAAGTATAAATGTCTGCATACCTGCCAGAGGGCACCTCCTACCAGTAAATACAATAAAAGGCTTAAAACATGCAACTTACCCTCTTCAAAGCAAAAAAATATATATCTTAAATGACAATGTCTTAAGTAGAGACGAGGATTCTAAAACTTACTTCTCAATTTGCCGAGTAAGATGGCTTTTATCCCACAGGCCTGCTCGAGACAAGTAACCCCACCTGCAAACGTGAGCGTAGTGAATGAACCATAACTTGTTTAGTCCACGCTCATACTTCCAAATGTTTGCTAAGTTGAAAGCAAACATTATACAAAAAAGTTCATGACTTTATGGAGACTTAAAGACGACAATAATATTTTTGGGAACTTCATAGGTTCCTAGACCAAAATATACCGTTGATTAAAGTACTCTCCGTCAGCATCCAACATAGGAGCGATTTTCTGATCCACCCTACTCATAAGAACAAACAACTTCTGCATGTTCTCCGTAAGTTCTCGCTCATCCATATTTGTTATCTCATCAGTCTGCCGAAATGATGTACCAAAAATTAGAACCAAACAGAAGTCAGCTTCATGCCAAGCAGAAGACGAGCATAACATGGCGGTCCAAAGCATTGATGTATGCTGATGTGATGAAGCAAGAGAATGTAGACAGAAATTTTAAAGATATGGGTAAATCCGCATATCCGGATGTGTGGATGACAAGATGTGAAACATGCATTACCAATCAAACAAGGCCAAAACAAGTAAATACTAAAGGACTCACTAGCCTGAACATTGATAAATCAAGAATGTAGGAGAAAAGACTAATTGCACCTGTGCTGGCCTTCCCGCAGTACGACGTTGTAGTGCGAGCCGAAGCTGATTAAAAACATCCCCAACAGCCTCTTTCTGATTCATCAACTCTATCAACTTAGCTCTATGGTCTCTCCCGTATGCTAGAGCCTTCACCTGGATGCAGCAAAACAGCATACAAATCAGATATAACTAACCGTGAAAAACTATATCTTTCGGGTGTTCGGCTCATCTTTGGACCCTACATTCGGAGTATCAATGACATATTAAGCCCCAGAAGCAGGATTTATGAAATAAGCTGGAAAGGAAACTGAGCATCCATGCATGGTTTGGCAGTAAGTTCACTAAGCTCTAACTCTCTCATTGAGGTGCAGAACATAAAACATCAGTTTCAGTGCGGCTTTATTCTTATCTGACTGACAAAGACAGAGCTAAGATACCTCTTTCTCAAGCTCGCGACAGATAAGGGCTGTTCTCCATCTTAAGTGCACCTTTGACATGCTCACATCTGTGTAGATGTGATCGCCAACATACATTGTCTCATCACCATGAAAGCCAAGTGCTTTCTCCACCATTAAGGCGCTACCACCACAATAAAGCCCACCTGAAATGTGCAGGAATCAATACGGTAGCACACGAGACCCATCACGCATATCTAAAAGCGTACAAGGAGATTGTTGTGCAAATAAAAAATATGTGACTCGATTAGCATCAAACTTGAACTGTTTGAATGACAACTTACTCAAGCACTGCTGGTGACTGGAGTGTCCTTACCTGGAGTGGCCTTACCTGGAGTGGCCTTGAAGCAAGGGCGCATCAAACCATCGTCTGTGACTATTTCATACAAAGGATTGGACTTTTGAAAGAATTCAGGTTTTCTGGCAGAAACAATAACCTGAGGAATAGATGTAAAATTAATAAGATGCAATGAATCTAATGCAAAAAAAAAAAAAGTGGATGTATTTCGGTCACAATTTTTTTTGCAAGTAGAATATTTATAGACTATAAGTTTGATTATGAAGACTTTCTGAGCTTATGATATTCAGTGAAGCAAATAAAAGTGGTGTTTGTCTAGTCACAGCCAAGCATTCTAGCCAGAAACGTACCATATCAAAAAGAGACCGCCAATTCATACCATTTGGGAGATATTTATCAAAAGCGTATTGCATCATCTTGTTCGTGTAGAGATAATCAGAATTCGTGATAAGCAATAGCTTCTTACCAGCCTGAAAAAGAGACACAAATTACTTATCGATTGCACCTGACGAATTGAAAATTACTCTACAATGGTTCGACTTCTCATATTCAGTAATTGTAAATCCACTCGATTGTGACGAAAAATACACTGCAAGCAGGTTGATATTCAAACCTCCCTCTGATCTAGCAAAGCCAAGGGGAGCTCAGGATCCGGCTCAACAAATAACTCTGGATTGTTAATAATTTCTGCCTGCAGCAATAAAAATAAAGGGCATAATTTGCAATCTTCCTTCTTTACAATACACGAGGCTCTAAACCAGTGTACGAAATCTTTAAATTGATTACAATCCCTTGCTAAGCTTTGTCCACCCGCATGGTTAAGTCCCTAAGAGCATAATACAAAACTAGACAAGTTCTGTTCCACAAATAACCCCTTTTATTATGCGAATAGACAACAATAACAGCTGTTTCGGGAGGTTTCATTCTAACCTTCAATTGACCTTCGACGTGAGCCTTGAAAAGTGACTTCGATACAACCTGAAAAAAGTGGCTCAACTGCTCAGAATTAGAATCTACACACAAGTCCGTAGTATTGTAAATGGCATGTCAAGCTACTTACAAAGCTAATAAAACCCAGGTATGTAGGACCGATTCATAATATTGAGGTGCTCACTGAAACAATCCTTTCGGGAAGAAGATAAGCGCGAAATCAAACTCAACACTCAACAGTACCAGACCGAGATAATTTCATGATAGACGTAAGGTATGTGAAGGTACCCCATACAAGCCTTTGTAATCCATCGGGCCAATCTCAGGAGGCAAAGAGCCCTCGTCAAGCCTCTCCACCATCTGCAATCAATCAGAAATTGAGCTAAAAAGGTTAGTACCATAAACTGGTTTATGTTTTTACAGATGAACACCAACATATGAAAAATGTAAAGCCCTAATTATGATGCAATTTGATAGATTCAGTGGTTGTGACTTCGGCTCCTGACACTGATGAGAAAACAGTAACGCTGGAGTATTCAATAAATCACACACCTGCATAAACATTACTGATTCAGATATGGAGAATAGGGTATTCAGAAACTCCCAACGCCCCTCATCTCGCAAATCCACGAGTTCCCGGCCGTAGAGCTCGCTGCAACCATACTTGGATGCCATGTTTCGTTAGACTGAAGCATCCACAAATAAGTGACTAAAACCCTTAGTCCAAGAGTAAAGATCACTTCATTTTTGAACGCCTAGACCACCTGGACCGAGAAACCAGGAACCAAACTTGCCCCCCTGTTTCAAAAGTATATTTTTAAGAATAAGGTAATATGTAGTAACCAAATTGAGCAAGCATGTTCATAAACAACAGCTAATTAGATTAGACGTTGAAGAGTCTACTGCCTAGGTATCTGAAAGTTTTCGTGGATGATATTGGGCTATTACATAAAAACACACCTGATTTCTCGATTCGACAGCAATTTGGTCCCGTGCATTGCTCGCTTTATGTAACCAAAACGATCAGCCTTGACTAGATTACCCATCTTTTTATCTAGCACTAATCCTCGAACAACCTGCGGAATGAATCATGGTCATGTCATGGACAAATCTAACTACTGTTCACCTGATCGGAACTGACTGAAATGAATCGTGTAACATTAGTTGTGCTGTTTTCCGTATACAATTAACATAAGCAGGAGAAAAGGAACAATACGACGTAAAAAATTAAAATTAAAATTAAAGAGGTTCAGTAAAAAAATTATACAGCTTGCTTTAAAAGAAAGGTAGCAGTGACGTGACCAAAGAAAATGCCGACTTAAGTTCATCAAGTGAAATGAGATGTTTCCCAGGTTCGGATTTGTTCAAATGACCATAGAAATGCTTCTAATGAAGGCACTACATTTTGTTTCACTGAGTTGAAGACAAAGAGTGGCACAGGCCGTGAGTATGAGAGCCATGTATTTCCAAACACATACCAGCTCTGGGTCAAACTTGAGGCCGTCTACCGGGTAATCCATAGAACGAAGGTTGCTCATTCCATACTCATAAGCCCTTCCTTCCCAAGCCTGTGTAGTAATCCCCCAAAAGATTGATATTAATACACAACCTCTGTCAGCTAATGTTCTAAGAAAATGTCGTAACGATAACTGACAAGCCCAAAAACGAAGAGTTAACTCACATTGACATTATAGTGAATAAGAGTGTAGTCCATGTCGTAACCGATAGTAGTAATCGACCGTAAGCTTAAAGTGCGGCTGCAAAATATGCCTCTAGAAGCAACACCATGAGGAAAACGTCTCTGCAATACCAGGTCACAAACCCTCAAACACCGTTATCCATGTACGCAATAACTCGACTGCACTACAAGGTTATGACAACAATAACATTCGATGAAACCAGCGCAATCCACTCTACAGTGAATTCTTAAGACTTAAATATAATCGAGGCGTTACATGTCTTTTAGACAGTCCGAGATATCATTAATTCACTACTGGTCTGTACCTTTCAACCGGAACACATACCGGAATATGTAGAGAATCAAGCAATGACTCCGCTTCCATAGCCTCTGCTTTTGCAACTTCTTCTATAGACCCATCCAATGATGCAGCAACTTCTTTCAAACTCGATTCGCCGAACTCAAAAGCTTCAGGTCTTACTTTCATGTCCCCCTTCGTGCTCTCCCTCAGGTAGTCAATTTTGAACTTTCTGTCCTTAGAACACTTGATTACTTGAAACAAATTAGAAGCAGGAATTGGATGATTCTCTCCTTCATTCTCTGGTAGTACAGTATGCCATTTATTCCAGGCAGCCAAATTATTTCCGTGAGAAGGGCTGTGTCCTGTCATTACACAGTCCTTCTATGTAACGAAATAGACATACTCTTCACCAAACCTAGCACGTAATCACACCGAATTACAGATATGACCGGATTCATTACTCATTATCCCTGCAAACTTAGCAAGGGTTGTTTCTATGAAAACCCCACAGTTGCAACTTCTCTTCAGATGTGCCAAATCCAATGCACGTCTTAATAGATTTGACGAACATCCATCAACTATAGTGTGTCGGTGTTTCGCACCCGCCTCACAATTCAATTTAGCTCGTACATGGGGCCCCAATAAAGATAGCTGTTCAGAAAAGCTGAGTAAGGATTCTAAGTGATATCTACCCGTACGCTTCATATTTGGCAAGAACTTGATCCAGACTAGTACTCACTAAAGAATGCATCGAGTTCTGATGCAAGCCCATCCAGGAAAGAAGGCCTTACTGAATACAGACGATTCGGGAGATTCGTGTTTAGAGCCACTGTTGTCATCGCCTTCCCCCTGAAAGCTGCTTCCTCTAACGCTAACTAGGCTCTGGACTCTTCTTTGCAAATGTCGACTTCGGGCCATACGCATGAAGCTTGGAAAACCGGGTCCACGACCCATGTTGGCCCTCCCAAGGCCACTCAACACTAACGGAGGGCTCCCCGTGGAACAAACATAAGCGCAAGTTGCAAGCGACATCGGCGACATTGAGGCTCGCCCATTGAATGACTGGACCGCACCCAATGATTTGCTACAAGTAATGTAGGGACTAGCAATCGATTGACAGTTCGCCAATCGCTCCATCTGCGTTTTGGATTGCTGTTGACCTCTCAATTGCAAATTCTATGAGGCCAGCCTATCCTGCAATCTTTTCGCGCAACGATTTCTCGATAAGAATACGCAAAACTTTTCAACGCTAAGTATGATGCACTGCGCTGCTTTTTCTATTTAGGTCGTATTCCTGTACTCGGACACCACTACTTCTGTGTCAATTCGTAGGGGGACTCGGCATTAGAAAACGCACCAAATAATAGTGACAAAAAACCTGCCCTCGACACTCCGCAAGGGCTATCTATGCCGGTTTCCTTCCTACAACTACAACTTCCAAAATCAACACCTTCTCTCACGAATGATGCACTTTAATCCCTCCATAACCGTTACAACCTCAAAGCTGACGCCATAAACTCATACTGAAGTCTTCAATATTCTCGAACATCCCCCTGCATCCCACTGGTCCTGAAATCCGACCCAAGCAATTCCACTCAAAAACCAATGCACACATATTGCAACACACAAAAGAAAGAAAATTATTTCCACCCCGCAACAGCATGAACTCTCAACAAGCTCCATAGTGCTTCCAAAGATTCTGTCTCAAAAATGCCGTGCCTAGATCGTGCTAAATTCACAATAGACTTGTACGTATGCGGGCGGAGGTCACAACGGCAAGCGACAGTGAAAATTTATGACACCACCTCCTCCCCTTGTAAGACTTCGCTACCAGTTCGTAGCCTACCGACAGCCTTGCAATTCCAAGTAACGCCACGATCACGATCACACCGCAGGGTTCAAACTTACGTATTTCCGAAAAACTACAAGCACAAGCAGTAAACACGAGAATAGCCATAATTAACAGAAAGGGCAGGAGCACAAAGTGACCTACGCCATGAGGATGCCGGTGTTGGAACAAATTCCTTCGATGGTCGGATTGCTTTTCAACCCGAGGCTTCGACGCTGCGACGATTGCTCCTGTCTCACTGTGCGCAACCAAGCGGACCAACTGGCCTGAAAGCGGAGGTGTTCTTTTTAGCGATGGCGGCGCAATGTTACTGACTACCACGGCCTTGAGATCGACACACACATTTTTTCTGCTCATAGTCCCTTTCTCAGTCTCTAGACTTTTCTCTTCTTCATCGATTGGACACCAGCATTGCCCTCTCGTAGCCGTTTGGAAGTGGCAAAGATATTGGCCATCAATGCTCACAAGACAACTATTCCATAGATTCTCAGTGATTTGTGGTGGTCTCCGCAGAGTTGCCATTGGTAGCGGTGTTTGCCTGATGCTTATTGGCAGCACATGAGATGAACCGCAATCCCGTCACTTGTGGTCCTGGGTTTTTCCCCGCGTTGAAAAGAGGCCTTTAGCGTTATCAGCAATTTAGTTGGGACTATTGAGTGTTGCGTTTCTACTTTATTCGGCTAGATTCGAACGCAAAGAGGGAACCAGACGGGCTGGAAAAACTGGTAGAAAACCAAAGGCTCCGTTGTTGGAGGATTTTTGTGCTTTTGTTTTCCTGCTTCTAGCTGTGAGCTTCGATACGGTCTGCACTGCGTCAGAAAACTTTGGGTTTTTGATTGTGGGGCGTGTGGATGGCAGTGAATCTGTTGAGACATCTGTAACTTGTGACTTGACCATGGATCAGGATGTTGTGTTTGAATAGTGTTTCCTTGAAAAACTTGCTGAGATGATTGGTTTTTGGTCATCAACCTGTCTTACTAGGTCTTGTTCTTTTTCCAAATGATTCGCTGGTGATGACCTGTTACAATTCCCTGGGCTAGATGAGGATTATAAAATCAATTTCTGGTAAAAGAAGCTTCGCACCAATCGTCTCAGGGAGTCATTCTATGGCCTCTAGCTCTCGAAGAAGCTCTTCCGAATTCACTAGATGAATCAAGAGCAGGTCTCTTCCAATTGGTAGAGCTGGAATAAAGATGTGCGTTATCGGTGAACGTCGGTGAGGTGCACATCTAATGAGAAAACTTCCACTGAGCTTTTGCAATGACAAGTTCTAAGGATCATGTGTAATCACTAGCACAACCAACATGTAAAAACAGGCAGTAAGATTGGATTCATCCGGAAACAACCTCCACGCAACCTAGAGTCTGATCCTAACTCCTCAGATCACATGTACAATTGTAATTTACATTCAAACGATGACATGTTTGATGAAATTGTTAGAATAGTTGTCTTTTAAGTGAGATATCTCCGCTGGTTTTTGTCGTGAACTGGTTTTGACTTCTTCATGATGGATTTTTAGTTATTGTTTCGTTGAATAATAGATCACTCACTTCTGTGATTCCGTAGGAATAATCTTCAGATTCGCTCTGAAAATTATCCCGATTCATACTCCTCTTCTCTAACTTCATTGGAATACTGTTCGCACCATCCACCAGTCTGCACATCTTAATCTTCTTCTGTGGTGGTGTAAGTCTTTTAGGATTCGTCACGTACTCTTCATCCCGCTGTAGTACGAGTAATATTATGGATATGTAAAATTTTCGGCCTTGAAAGTATCATTTTTAAGAACATTTATGCAGGAAAGCTACTTTGACTGGTAGGTTCATTGGCAAACACGGTTTCTAAAAAATGGTGCTAAGAACTATTAAAGCTATTATGTAAAATTTTCCATATGTACTTACTGTTAGAAGTAAAAAAGACAAGTTAATCAATTCTTTTATCATCCAAGGTCTATTGCCTATAATATTAAGAATTATTTTATTTGATAAAAAAATATTTTTAATAGATATAATTAATAAATAAGAAATATCAAGAAAAAAAAAGTTTGGCATTAGATTCTAAAACTTTTAATTTTGTCGAAGTCTTTGAATTTCTTACTTTATTTTATAAGTATAGAACTGGTTGTGTTGTACAAAGGTGTGATATCTATTTTTTAATTTTTTTGTAGTGATTATATAAAATCAATTTAATTTTAAGATTTTTTTACAATAATTATATATAATAATATAAATTTTAGTTTTTAATTTAGTTTTAAGAGTCTATTATTTTTTTATCTTTGATAATAATAATAAAAATTTCTTCTTGAATATACATATTATTATTATTATTATTATTATTATTATTTCTCTTTTATGTATATTGTTGTAGAGAGAGAATTTGCATTGAAAAAATATGGGGCTTCTAGATGCTATTAATTACCTTATTTTCTAATAAAAACTTTTATAACATATATAATACTCAATAAAATATGAACTCTTTGTAAATTTCCTTGCTTTTTATATTATCAATAAACACATTCATTAAATATTTGTAAAACAAACACAAAAGAGTCCAAAATCTTCTTTAAGAGTTCTTATATCTCTCTTTAAAGTTGATTGCTATCCTTTCAAAATCTTAAACTCTAAATTTCATTTCATTGAAAATTTGTTTATTTAAAAGAACAAAACATTGGGTTGAAGATTCTAGAGGATTGATGTTGTCTTCTTTTAGCTACCAACTTTTGGCTCCTTTGTTTTTAGAAGAAGTTATATACCAATAAAAAAAGATAAATATATAGAAGGCATGGACATCCCACATCATACTACTATTAAAGAAGACTTCTTATTCTTATCCATATATAACAAGAGTCCTTGTCATTCAACATAATCCCCTAATGCAAGCATTACAAAGTCAATCCTCTAGATATCTTCAATAAATAAATTGAAGATTTATAAAAAATATTACAAACATTCAATAAGAATATTATATTAGATTTTAAAAGATTTTATAATATTCTAAAAAGTTTTTAAAAATATTTTAAAAGATTTTAGATGGTTTTTAGAATATTTTAGTAGATTTTAGAAAGTTCTAGGAGGATTAAGAGACTTGTTTAAAAATCTTCTTAGAGTTGCTTCATCTTTAAATAATATAAAAACTTCTTATGAAGCTTCTAATGATTGTTTCATCTTCAAGTAATATAAAAACTTCTTAATAAGCTTCCTAAAATTGCTTCAACTTCAAACAACATGAGAACATCTTGAGAAGCTTCTTTATATCTAATATATACTAGAATCAAGATTGATGGAATATTCAATCTTAAAAATACATCTCTTGGAGCTCTAACTCACCTCTTTTAGTATTGATTATATATTCATCTGGTTTAATCAAGTTTTTGTTAGCTTTTTGGTTGAAATTCTTTTGTTTAATTTCTTATTTGGTCTCTTGCATTGTATATCCATGATAGTTTGTCAAGATCAACTTCTTATCAATAGTAGAATTTAATCCTTCTTGATAGAAAGTAAATTACCTCTCTTCTTGAAGGCATCAAAGTGCTTTAGAGATTATAGAATACCCCCCTCTAAATTGATATTATTTATTTATTTTATTTTTTATTTTTTATTTTTTTTCTTTTAAGATGGTTAGAAGTGATGTCACAGACATACATAGGTATTCTAGTAAATACTTATATGATTAGGTAGGAATAGATAAAAATAGATAAAAGTAGGTTAATTTTATAAGATCTTTTAGAGAAGCTTCTTAGAAGCTTCATAGATGCTACTTGACTTTATATGTGTTTGTAGTTGATTGGTAGATTAGAAACTTGGTCAATAATTTAATCACGTATTGATAGCTTGTAGAACAAGCTAACTATATGGCGCACATATAGAAAACTTGCCTTGCAAGTTAAGATATGTGTCTTGCAAAGTCAACACGTTTTGGAAGTCTTATAGGACATTGCCATATAGCTCCTAGTTAAGAGTATATATGGAGGCAAGAGTAAAGCCTTCTTTACTCTTGTCAACACTTTTTTAGTCCTTAGTCTTATTCCAAGACTTTCTAGTCTTCTTGTTTTTGACAAAAGTTATTCTAGTTCAATATTATATCATCTTTGAATGAAGTTTTAGCTCTTTTTAGTGATATATGAGTGTATTAAGGATTTTCTTTCCTCAAGACTCATATCCTTGACAGTTTGACAAGAGTGAAGACAAACTATTTTTTTCTCATGTTTTGGAAGTGAATGATTTATCTCACTTTTATTGTTGTGTTTTGAAGATTGTAAATTATCCATCTTTAAATAAAAAATCTTATTTTCTAACATTGATCTTTTCCTTAAAGAAAGTGGATTACCCCTCTTTGTAAAAATTTATATTAGAGGTTACGGATTATCTTCCTCTAATTTAACTTTTTGAATTTGTTTGAATTGTCTATAGAAAGAAAGATTATGGATGTTATTCTTAGCAAAAGTAAGAATAGATTTGCAACTATTGTAAATCTTCAAGAGCTTGTCAACATTCTAAGAGTCAAAATCTCACATATTTCTAATGTGAATCATAGAGATATTATGCCTATGCCTATGGAAGAAGATTAGAGTCTGCGGCAAGAAGTTGTACAGTTGAAGGAAGCAAGTAGGACGACTTCACAACCAAATCTAGAGAGTTTTACTTCTACAAGTATGATGAAGACAAGGATTAATATGCCTGAGAAGTTTGATGGAACAAGATCAAAATTTTGAAGATTTTTGCAACAAATCAAGATCTATCTAAGATTGCATCCTTTCCAATGGATTCAATGAAGTCAAATTCATAGATGCACTTCTATCCTTGCACTCCCATGGATTCACTCAAGTCAAATTCATAGATGTACTTCTATCAAGAAGTATTCTCTTTTAGTTTCCACATTTAATGAAAAAAAGATTTGCGACTCTTTTATGATTTGAATTCATTCCTAGAAGTATTTATGGCCACATTTAGAGCAATTGAGAAAGCAATTGAAAAAGCAATTGAAAAAGAGTAGCAAAGACCAAGTTCATATCTTTACAGTATAGATCACAGTTAGCTACTATATTTGCTGAATTCTAAAACCTTGCTTGTAATGTGGATTGGAATGACAAAGCCAATATCAATCAATTTCGATATGAATTGAAGGATAATGTCAAAGACTTATTACTGACAATGCCAAAGATTGAATCTTTGGAATAATTTATTGCTCAAGCTATTGCATGTGATAATTGATTATTTGAAAGATGTCAAGAATTAAGATATGGCTAAAGAAGAACAAATCAAATAAAAACAGTAGCTTTTAAGTTTTTAGAAACTTATTTATCAAAGCCAAAACCAATACAAATTGATATAATATATTTTAAATTCTTCATAGAGCAGAAAAAAAAGTCGATGACGTCAAGAAGGCTTATACTTATATTATAGAGAAGCTAAATATATTGCTTAATATTATCCAAAAAAACAATGTAATTATAAAATGAGAAGCATGATTGCCAAAGAAGATAATGTGTCAAAAAACAAGTTGCTCAAGCTATAATA